AAAGGAAATATACATTTGCTTATTAATTCCTTTTTAAGTATTATTTATTGAAAGGCAGAGTTAAAGAGCGAGATATACAAAAAGAAGAAACCTTATATCCACTGGTTTACTTTGGTCCAGACCAAAATCAGGAGCCAGAACCTTCATCTGGGTCTTCCTTCTGAGGGGCAGGGGCCCAGGCATTTGGATCTTCTACTACTCTCCGAGATACATGAGCAGGGAGCTGGAATGCAAGTGGAGTAGGCTGAACTTGAACTTGAACCTGTACCCATGAGGGAGACTCAGAGGAAGCTGCTGGCTTCTGGCTTTGGATCAGTGCAGCTCAGTCCATTGCAGCCACTTGGGGAGTGAACCAGCATATGGAAGACCTCTCTCTCTCTCTCTCTCTCTCTCTCTCTCTCTCTCTCTCCCCTCCCTCTTTGTAACCCTGCCTTTCAAATAAATAAATAAATCTTTAAAGAAAAAAAAAAACTAGGGATGCCTTGCCACACCCAGCAAATTAGTTCCCCAAATTATATTTGAAATAGCAACATAGTAAGGATGCATTAGTGACTAAAACAATTAAATTCAACCAGTTGTAATTATCACTCACACTTGATCTTAGCCAAAAGGCCGAGAAGCGATCCATGAATCACCCACATTGTCACTAATGTGCTCTGGAGACTTTGCAGATACAGGTTGATGTGTGTATAATCATACTTTTAAAATTAATTAATTAAATTATTTGATTAGAATGATTTAATAAATTACTAAAATTAAATAAAATTTTATTTTAAATTAACTAAATTTAAATAATGGTCATCACCTGTTAATTCAATAGCCAAACTAGTGCAAGTGTTGAAAAAATATTAGGTGTCATGAAAGGCTGCCAAGGAACTGAAAAATCCACAATGATCACTGTGAAATTAATTTAGCAGAAAATGATAAAAAGATCAAAAAAGCCTTCATCAATTTTTTTTCTGTGGAAATAGATTTGTGATTTATGGGATAGTATTTTCCTATGTGTCACATATTAATAATTAATTTTGACTAAAATTAGTTTTTTTGTTTTATTAAAGATTTATTTTATTTACTTGAGAGGTACAGTTACAGACAGTGTGAGGGAGAGACAGAGAGAAAGGTCTTCCTTCTGTTGGTTCACTCCCAAGATGGCCACAACATCTGGAGCTACACCGATCCGAAGCCAGGAGCCAGGTGCTCCTTCCTGGTCTCCCATGTGGGTGCAGGAGCTTTACTGCTTTCCCAGGCCATAGCAGAGAGCTGGATTGGAAGAGGGGCAGCTGGGACTAGAACCGGCGCCCATATGGGATGCCAGTGCCACAGGTGGAGGATTAACCTCCTGGCTCTGATGAACATTAGTTTAAAATGTGCAAGACCTTTAGGAAAACATGTCTCATTCTGACTGGTCTGTATTAATAGAGGTATAAAATTTTATGTAACTTTTAGTTCTCATTCTTCATTGCTTATCTTTAGTAAATGTGAACATCGAATATCATAATACTCATAGGTGATTAATCATTTTTCTACTTTTCATCAGGTTTTTATAGGTTTTATTTATTTATTTGAGAGGTAGAGTTTCAGACAGAGAGAAGAAGAATAGAGAGAAAGGTCTGCCATCTGCTGGTTCACTCCCCAGATAGCCACAAAGGTAGGAGCCAGGCTGATCCAAAGCCAGGATTTCTTCTGGGTTGCCCATGTGTGTGCAGGGCTCCAAGCACTTGGACCATCTTCCACTGCTTTCCCAGGCCATAAGCTGAGAGCTGAATCAGAAGAGGAGCAGCTGGGACATGAACCAGCATCCATATGGGATGCTGATGCCACAGGCAGAGGCTTAGCCCACTAAACCACAGTGCCAGCCCCCTCATCAGTTTTAATGAATATTCCATAATATGGATTGTATTAATTTTATCTGTACGTGATCACCAGATATTTCCATTCTAGTTTGTGTAAATGTAAACAAAAGTTTATGTGACTGTGTGTGTTCCCAGATTATGCAATGATAATGAAATTATTACTATGAGGAACCCTTGCTCTCATTTTCAACACTATGTCCCTACGGAGCTGGTTGCCTATGCAGCAGAGCCCTGAGCCCCTTACTAATGTGGTGGCCTAAACTTTTTCTCCCCAAGGTATACACCTTAAATCCCTGAGACCCTGTGTGACTGTATTTTGAGACAGGGACTTTATTGAACTTTTTAAAGTCAAACGTTATCCAAAGGGAGAGGCCATAATCCAAGCTGGCTGGTATCCTTCCAAAGAGAGGCACCAGTGTGGATAGAAGAAATGCCATGTGAGGACACAGCAAGATGGTGGCCACCTGGAAGCCTGGGGGAGAATTCTCAGGAGGAAGAAATCCTGCTGTCATTCCATGTGGAACTCCCAACCTCCAGAGCCATGAGTCATAAGGTACTGTCACTTAAACCACCCTATAAGTGGTAATTTATTATAGGAACCATGACAAGTAAGTACACTCTCATCTTTGTCTACTTTTCCTGCAGATAGCTAGAAGGTCCATGCTATGATGTAACAGCAATACAGATATTAAAACTGTGACTTCAGATGTCATTGCGCCTAGGCCAGGAAAAGAGAGAAAAAAGAAGCCTACAATAAATAAAAATTTGTAGAAATCTAGACATAGAAGAAAAATAAAAAGTGAATGAATATACATGTATTAATTTTTGAAAACTCCATAATCTGATAAAATTGAAAGTCTAAAATTTACTTAAAAGTGGTATCATTAAAAGCTATTTAAGGTATACAAGTTTCATGTATTTCATATAGATAGATTTAGGAACATAGTGATGTTTCCCACTCTAGTCTCCATCCTGCCCACTCCCATCCTTCTTCCTCTTCCCTCTGCCATTCCCACTCATTTTTTTACAAAGATATATTTTCAGTTTATTTTATACTCATAAGATTCATCCTACACTAGGTAAAGAGTTCAACAAATAGTACGAAGAAAAAAACACTGTTCCTCAATAGTAGAGACAAGGGCTGTAGATGTCCCTCAAATCTTAAAGCGTCAATTTCACTCGGTATGCATTACATTTTAGGTATTCTATTAGTAACCACAGGTCAGGGGAAATGTATGGTATCTGTCTTTTAGGGACAGTATGCTTATTTCACTAAGCATAATGGTTTCTACTTGCATCCATTTTGTTGAAAAAAGACAGGAGTTTATTTTTTTAACCATTGAATAGTATTCCATAGTGTATATGTACCATCATATTTTTTATCCAGTCTTCAGTTGATGGACATCAGAGTTGAACAAAGATGGAGGCAACACAATACCACTTTCAAGACATATTACAGGGCAGTTAAAATCAAAGCATCCTAGTACTGGCCAAAAAAAAATGTGTAGACCAATGGAACAGAATAGAAACTCCAGAAATCAATCCATGCACGCATCTATAACCAACTTACCTTTGACAAAGGAGCTAAAACCAACCCCTGGAGCAAGTGCAGTCTTGTCAACTGCCCCTACTCCCACTCCCACCCCTAGCCCTCCTAAGATAAAAAAAGGCTGGTCGCTTGTATCTGGGGCCTCCTGCCATGTGTTCCACCAATGTGCATGCCTACAATTGGTCACCCACCTCTGTGGATTTATTTTCTCTGAATAAATTCAGTCTAATAATATAGTAATAATATATTATTATTATATATTATTATTAATCAGTCTAATAATCATACAGTCATTTGGGGTGTGAACCAGCAGATGGAAGACCCCTCTCTCTCTCTCTCTGGCTCTACCTCACTCTGTCTTTCAAATAAATAAAATAAATATTTAAAAAAAAAACCATTGCATTTTTAAAGCTAAAATATGGGTCATTATTTGTCTTTTGTAACCTGTGATTTAGCCCACATGTATTTTTTATTTTATTGCTGTATCATACAGCTCTAGAATTTCCATTGTTTTTCCAGTTGTTTTTTCTACTGATAATTTTGATATATCATCCTTTATATTATAAACATATAGTACAAGTATAGCATAAACATCTTATATTTTACTTTCAAAATCTGGGTTAACTTAAGTTTCGTTCTAGTGATTCTTTTTCCTTTTGATTATGAATCACATTTTTTTTCTTTACCTGGGTGTTGATTCTGAATTTCTTCTTGGATATTATAAATTATGTTATAGAAATTGAGTACTGTTATATTTCTTAAATGATTTTTGTTTTACAATGTAGTCAATAGGCTAAAGTCAAATTCCAAACTCTGCATTCCTTGCAGTGATAAGTAATTAACTTTTTTTAAAAAAGATTTATTCATTTATTTGAAAGGCAGAGTTACACAGAGAGAGGAGAGGCAGAAAGAGAGAGAAGTCTTCCATCTGAGGGTTCACTCCCCAATTGGCCACAATGGCTGGAGCTGAGCTGATCTGAAGCCAGGAGCCAGGAGCTTCTTCCAAGTCTCACATGTGAGTGCAGGGGCCCAAGGACTTGGGCCATCCTCTACTGCTTTCCCAGGCCATAGCAGAGAGCTGGAGCAGCTGGGGCACAATCCGGCACCCATATGGGATGCCAGTGCTTCAAGCAAGGGAATTATCCGGCTGTGCCACAGGACCCACCACTATTAACTTTATTTCATCCATTTATTTTACTAGCAGAGAGACAGCAAGACAGATAACCTAACTGACAGACACAGGTTTCACATCCACAGGTTCATTACCCAAATGCCTGAAAGACCTGTGGGTGCACCAATTCAGAGCTAGAAGCTGGGAACCTAATCCAGGTCTCCCATGGGTGTGGCAGGGACCAGATTACTTGAGTCACTACCTGCTGCTTCCCACGGTGCACATTAGCAGGAAGATGGAATTGGAAGCAAAGTTAAACCATGAAACCACACATCTGAATATGGGCTACAGGCATCCCAAATGGTACCATCACCACTGCACCAAACACCTAGTTCTCACAACTTCAATCCTTTCATGGATGTCTACATGATGATGGTTTGTTATCTTATTTATGTAAAAAACTCACCATTGTTTTAGGGAAATCAAAAGAACTATGTGTAAAATATGACCATATACATGCAGGCAGCAGAGCATCTAGTTTAGCATCTGGGCCCAAATCTGTCTCAGTCTACAGTGTGTGTTACAGAACAGGGGCAAACCATGCACATGTTTGCTTCTCTGTGCCTTGTCTACTCCAGATAGGAGTTCCACTTTTAGGTGAGTAGAAGAATCTGATCACTTCTTCTCTACTACAGCCTTTCAGGGACTTGAATTTTATTCTTCTGTACCTTCCTTGCTTTTCCCGGTCAGTTATAAGATATAGATGTCCACACAGAAATAGTTACATTGCCAGACCTCTTTAAGTATGGGGCATCAAGCAAAAGAGAAAAGCAGTGAAACAAAAATTGGTTTGTTGCGGAGGTCAACAAGATGGGATGATTTTTCTTAGACCAAGACCAAAACAGAAGAGACACGGTTCATAAACTAAGAAATGAAGAGGGGTATATTGCCAATAAGTTTACAGAAATTTAAAAGATTATAAAGGAATACTGTGAATCAATATGTCAAAAGATCCAACAATTTATATGAAATACATACATTGCTAGAAAAATACAAATTGTCACTCTCAAGAAGAAACTAAAAATATTAGTAGCCTAAAGCAGTCAAAAATCAAACAATAATAATAATAAATGTAATCAGCAATTTAAAACATTACCACGAAGTCCTGACCAGATGGTATCCTTTGTGAATTATATCAAACATTTAAAGAAGTAATAACAATATTTTTCAAACTCTACCAAAACACTTGCCAACACATTTACACTTGCCAACTCATTTTCTCTCTCTCTCTCTCTCTTTTCTTTCTTTCTTTCTTTCTTTCTTTCTTTCTTTCTTTCTTTCTTTCTTTCTTTCTTTCTTTCTTTCGACAGGCAGAGTTAGTGAGAGAGAGCGAGACAGAGAGAAAAGTCTTCCTTCCATTGGTTCACTGCCCTAATGGCCACTACAGCTGGCGCTGCGCTGATCCGAAGCCAGGAGCCAGGTGCTTCCTCCTGGTCTCCTATGCAGGTGCAGGGACCCAAGCACTTGGGCCATCCTCCACTGCACTCCCAGGCCACAGCAGAGAGCTGGACTGGAGGAGGAGCAACCAGGACTACAACCCTGGGTACCGGCGCCGCAGGTGGAGGATTAGCCTACTGAGCCATGGCGGCGCCAGCTTAATACTTAAAAAACAATGAGTTCAAATGAATTGTATTGATATCCTAAAAGTCGACAATAGCAGGTAACTGGATCACAAGCAGAGGAGCTGGGCCTCAAACTGGCGGTCCAATACACGATGCAGGCCCCCTAGCTGTGGCTTACCCTACTGCACCGCAACACTGGCCCCAACAGATTCACTTTAACATACCATGCTGATTGAGAAGAAAAATTGCATTCTTAGCAAAAAAAAACCTCAGCAAGAGACCTGGAAACATCACCTCAGCATCGTCCCCCTGCAGGCTGTGCTCTGGCCTCCCTGGCCTGGAGGTAAAGGGGAAGATGATCAAGCTCGCCACTCACTGTACTTTGCCCAAGGCCATGGCCACAGATTCCAGAGCCGACCACGGGGAAGTGCAGGGCCCCCTGCATCCAGTTCCAGCAGGTCCGCCAACTCCGCCTCCCCTTCTCCAGACACCAAACTTCTGAGCCGTCCGGCTTCCTTTTCACAGACGGGCAGAGGCTGAACACCCTGGCCCCCTGGGCGGCAGAGCCTGACTACCACTGTGACGCGAAGAGCCCGCGTGTTTACGTAATACTGCGCGGGCGCACCTGATTGGATTGTTTGCAAAGCCGGAGGGGGAGCCTTCGACGTCACAAAGGTGTAGCCAATCAGAGGAGGGCGGTGACTTGGGGTGTGCAGTGTGGGGGTTGTGAGGGGAGAAGCTTGGGCTGTGGTCTGAAGCTGCCTCCTCCCCCTTTCTGTCTTCCCCTGCAGCCCAGGCCGCTGCACCTCTGTTCCCACAGGGATCCGTGAGCTGGAGCCTGCAATGACCTGCTGCAGGCGAGTCTCTATTTGCTGACTGTGACTCCTGGGCCCTTGTCTTTCTTCACATTCCTGGGTCATTCTTCTGTATGGTCATTTACGTTCTATAAATTGATTTGAAGAGTGCGTAAAGGTATTAGATGCTTGAATCCTTTTCTGATTCATTTCTTTTGTAAATATGTGTTTCCTAGTCTGTCTTTTGTCCACTTTGTTTCTCGCTGGTACTTAGTAATCCAATTGGCTTTATATGTGGATCTACTACCCAGAAGTGTTGCTATAGCTAATTATCAGTTGCATTTGTTTGGGGATTAGATTGAATTATCTTTGTATGTAATGTCATCCACATATATTAACAATTGTATTGCAAAAAATGTGATTCTTTTATCTTACATGTCTTTGTTTCCCTGACTATAGGTCCAGTACAATGTTATGAGAGGTGGGCGTCCAAGGAAAGATCTCTCAGTGCTCCTTAAGTAATTTATTGCATGCTAATTTTACATAATCTTGATCTGATTAAGCAAATCATTATTTTTAAATATTTTGCTAACATTGGCTTTTATGGCTGGATGCAGAATTTTATTAAATGCTTTTTAAACATTTAATCTAAGTGATCATGTAATCCCTTGTATTCTTCACCTACCTGGATGCTTTACATGGTTTTTTGAGAATGTTGAATACTCTTACACTTTTTAGTGTATCTTGCTTGTCATTGATCTATTAGTTTTTCATATGTGGTTTATATAATATTTTAAAATATTTATTTATTTGATAGGCAGAGTTAGAGAGAGGCAGAGGCAGAGAGAGAGACAGGTCTTCGTCTGTTGGTTTACTCCTCAAATGGCTGCAGTAGCTGGAGCTGGGCTGATCCAAAGCCAGGAGCCTGGATCGTCTTCCAGGTCTCCCACAGAGGTGCAGGGGCCCAAGGATTAGGGTCATCTTCCACTGCTTTTCCAGACCATAGCAGAGAGCTGGATTGGAAGTGAAGCAGCCGGGATGTGAACCTGTGCCCAGATGAGATGCTGGCACTGCAGGCAATGACTTTACCCACTATTCCACAGCAAGGGGCCCAAATTTATATAATATTTGGTTAGTATATTTGCATATTGGGGCCGGCACTATGGCGCATCAGGTTAAAGCCCTGGCCTGAAGTGCTGGCATCTCATATGGCACCAGTTCTAGTCCCAGTGGTTCTAGTCCCAGCTGCTCTGCTTCCAATCCAGCTCTCTGTTATGGCCTGGGAAAGCAGTAGAAGATGGCCCAAATCCTTGGGCCCCTGCACCCACATGGGAGACCTGGAAGAAGCGCCTGGCTCCTGGCTTCAGATCAGCACAGCTCCAGCCATTGAGGCCATCTGAGGAGTGAACCAGTGGATGGAAGACCTCTCTCTCTGTCTCTACCTCTCTCTGTAACTCTGTCTTTCAAATAAATAAAAGAAATCTTTAAAAAAAGAATATTTGCATATCTTTTTTAACAAGAAGCTCTTTAATTTCACTTTAATTTGTATCATATTCCGAGTTTCATCATCTGTGTAATAGTGGTTTCCCAAAAGAAATTTAAAAATATTCTACTTATTTTCACTTGGGGCAAGTGTGGGGAACAAATGTTTTTTCCTTCCTTGAAAGTTTGGAATATTCCATAAGTCATTTTCAACTTCTTCAAAATTGGCTCAGTTTGTTAGTTTGTATAGTTTTTTAATTCTATGTTATATTTGTGTTTCGGGAAACTGTTTTTCAGAATATAGTGGATTTTAGTGTCTGTAGTTAAATTTTCACCCCTAAGAATTTCATAAAGCTCTCTTAGCACCTTTGTAAGTTCTATGAACTCTGTAAAGATGATTCTGTTTCAATTTCTTGAGAGTGCCTATTGGCTAATTAATTTTCTTAATATTTTTAAGATTTTTTTGTGATGGCCTTTCCTTTCACTGAATGTCAAAAACTACAATTATATCCATATATCATTAATATGTTGTGGCACAGCATGTTAAGCCACCACCCACAAGCCAGCATTCCATGAGTCCCAGTTCCAGTCCTGGCTGCTCCATTTCTGATTCAGCTCCCTGCAAATACATCTAGAAAAATAGCAGAGGATGACCCAAGTAATTGGGCCCCTACCACCCACATGGTAGACCTGGATGGGGTCCCAGGCTCCTAGCTTTGGCCTTGCCAAGCCCAAAGTGGAGGCCATTTAAGGACTGAACTAGTGGATGACATATTCTCTCTCTCGCTCTCTGTCTGTCTCTCTCTCCATATATATATACATATATATATATATACACATATATATGCATATATATTTATTTATCTTCCTCCATCCCTCCCTCTCTGCTGTAAACCCTGCTTTGCTAATAAATAAAATAAACCTTTTTAAAAATAATATTGGGACATAGAAGAAGAAGAAGAACTGAAACAGGAACAAGAACAAAAACAGAAACAGGACTGACAGAGGAAGGAGAGGAAGGGAACAATCAATGGAGTCACACCACTGTGTCAGTTTCCGGGATGGCTCCAATGACTCATGTCCTGGTGCTCCAGCCCCAGTGCAGTCATTTCCCACACTGACTAGGACTCACCTACGTAATCTAGAAGATATTCCAGAAACTATGGAGTGGGACTTATGAGGCCAGATCCTAAAAGATATTTAAATTTCTCCTTTGCTCTCTTTTAAATAAGTTCTGGAGAATAAGCCAGCATCGCAACTTTGGGAGCGCTCAGACAGCCCTCACAGAGAAATCCACATAGTGCACAACTGAGGCCGACTGCTAACAACCAGCACTGTGTTTCTAGGCACGCGAGTGAGTGTACTGGACGTGAATCTGCCAGCCTCAGCCATACCTTCAGATGACTGCAGCCCAGCCAACAGCTCGATGCAGCTGCTTGTGGAAACCAGGTACAGAACTATGTATGTCAACATTTCTGGATTTCTCACCCAGAGAAGATGGCGTGTTTCTTGCTTTTAAGCTATTAAATATGGGGGAAATGGTGTACAGTAATAAATAACTGTGAATGTTAGGTGAAATAGGTCTAAAGAATTACCATTTAATTTTGTTCATTTAGTTTAACTTCTTGAAGGTTATTAGTGACCTTGAAAAGAGCAGTGCAGCAGAGTATGTGATAAAAGCCTTATTAGAGTGTGTTCAGAGGGACTGAGAGAAGAGAAAGTGGAGAGAGAAACTGCAGGTAATTCTTTGGTGATTTTTTTCTGTACAAAGGAACAGAGAATTGGGGCAGTGGCTGAAGGGAAAAGGGTGCTCAGGTTTTGCTTTTGATTTACCAGATAATGTAGCCTGATGTATAAGCTGCTGCTGCTGATTTAAGATATTGGCAAAAATTTCAGTTAAATGTGTAAATGGCTGGTAGGTCCACTGTCCTTGAGTAGTTGAGTGAAAAAAAGATCTAGATCCGTGTCAAGGAATGGGCCACGAGAGGACAGACAGTTCATATTTAATAGGGGAAGGGCAGGCAGAGTACCCACTGCTCCTATTAATGGGTAGGTGTGGTGGTGGGTGCCCTTATTTATTCTGCTTATTGAGAAGCAATGTCATCAAAAGCGAGTGAGAAGGAGAGAAGGTAAAGGAGATTAGAGACGGTGTTGGAGAGTCATCCATGACAGCACACTGGGATGTAAGTACACTTTCCCAGGGAGTCACAGCAAGGATAATTTAATCAAAATCAGTACCCAGGTATTCAATTTCCATAAATTCCTTTCATACAGTTTTCTCTTTCCATAAAATAGAATGCCACCTAATGGGTACAGAGTTTGGGCTTAGCAGATGAAAACATACTGGAGATGGTAGTGAAGATGGAATTGCAACAGTGTGAATGTACTCACTGCCATAGAGTTACAGACACACACGAGTGATTAAAATGGTCACAAAAGTCCATATGATAGTATTCAATTCATATGAGAGTCCAGAATAGGAAAATCTAGAGATGGAGGAGGAGGAGGTGGAAGAATAACTATATTCCTGAAGTTGTACTTATGAAATTGTATACTTAAAAAATAAATTTAAAAAAATTAAAGAGCTCAAAGCATGCAAAGAAAAAAATCTAGAGACATATCGTAGATTAGAATTTGAGTTGAGGGTGGCGCCGCAGCTCAATAGGCTAATCCTCCGCCTGTGGCGCCGGCACCCTGGCTTCTAGTCTTGGTTGGGGAGCCGGATTCTGTCCTGGTTGCTCCTCTTCCAGTCCAGTTCTCTGCTGTGGCCCAGGAGGGCAGTGGAGGATGGCCCAAGTGCTGGGCCCTGCACCTGCATGGGAGACCAGAGGAAGTACCTGGCTCCTGGCTTTGGATCAGCGCAGTGCGCCAGCCACAGCACACTGGCTGCAGTGGCCATTGAGGGGTGAACTAATGGAAAAGGAAGACCTTTCTCTCTGTCTATCTCTCTCACTGTCCACTCTACTTGTGAAAAGAAAGAAAGAAGAAAGAAAGAAAGAAAGAAAAGAAAGAAAGAAAGAAAGAAGAAGAGAAGAAAAGAAAGAAGAAGAATTGGAGTTGAATAGGGCACTTTCAAGAATAAGGGATTAATAGAGGGCACAGGGTTTCTTTGTGAGATGAAATGTTCTAAAATTCATTGTGAACATATCTGAGAATATGTGAAAATCATTGCATTATATGCTGTAAGTGGGTGAATGTTATGTGAATTGTTTCTCAACAAAATTCTCTTTTTTAAACATATTGACTAACTACTGATATAGGTTACATGAATGAACCTCAAAAACATGTCAAATGAAAGAAGCCAGATGAAAGAGACTCCTTATTTAATTCCACTTACATTACATGTGATTTTTGGAAAGAGAATCAGATGTCAAGTGGCATGGATGGGCATACCTCTTGTTCCCTTCCCACCCTTCAGACTCATACCACTCCAAGTAACCTTTCTTTTTTTAAGATTTATTTATTTATATGAAGGTCAGAGTTACACAGAGAGAGAAGGAAAGGCAGATAGAGAGGTCTTCCATCCACTGGTTCACTTCCCAATTGACTGCAATGGCCGGAGCTGCGCCAATCCAAGCCAGGAGCCAGGAGCTTCTTCCAGGTCTCACATATGGATGCAGGGGCCTAAGTGCTTGGGCATCTTGTACTGCTTTCCCAGGCCACAGCAGAGAGCTGGATCAGAAGTGCAGCAGTCAGGACTTGAACCGGCACCCATATGGGATGCTGGCACTGCAGGTGGTGGCTTTTTCCCGCTATGCCACAGCGCTGCCCCTCAAGTAGCCTTTCAACTGATAAAGTTGCAGGAAAAAGATAGGGGCAGGATGGACACTTTTGTGTGGCAGGTGACCTCGTCAATCCAGCTCTAGGTGTGCTTGCCCACTTGCTCTTTAGCAAATCGCCTTGCTGATAACCATGGGGCAAAGTGTGCACAGAAAGATTAGCCAAAAGAGGAACTGACTTGGGAAGCTATTTTGCTGAGATATTTTTTTTAACCCTCAGAAATTACCACATTTGCTTCCTTTCCTTCAAACTTGCTGCTAGGCACTTAACTGAACCTGCCCACCTCATTCACTATGGTTTGGATATTAGTTAGGGTGTGGGCCCAAAGGCACATCTTTAAAGGTTTGGTCCCTCAAGTCTTATGTTAATGATAGTAAATGGGTGGAAACATAATCCGATTGTGATGTCTAGAGCTGGGGCCTTGTGGAAGCAATTAGCTACCTACAAAATATACCTGCAAAGCCATAAGGGAAAATAAACATCATTCCCCCACAAGTAACTTGTCTTAGGTATCCATCTCATTGTGGTAATGTGTGTCTCTCTCTGAAAAAAAAAAAACGAGTAATACTGCATTCATGCGTAATTCATATCACATCTGGGTACAATGAGTGTGCAATCAGTTTTCAAAGTTCTACAGTCTTCGTTTGGTCACACATATTTTGGAATATTTGTCCATCCCTCCAGTTGAGAACTATGAAGTGTGCAGTGATCAATGAGTTCTCCTCTCCGGATTCCCCTCTTCTTCCTACCTGATCCTCCACTTAAGAATGATTCCTCAAAGTGGAAAGAAGGAAGCAAACTTATACCTTTGTACTCATCAAGGTGTGAACATTCACCTAGAAAACTAGGTGAAACTAAGAGATCAAATAATATTGGATAGAGGAATTATTTCAAATGATCTTTTCTTCTCCATATTCTAAGAAATATATACTAGTTGATTAGCTGTGACCATCAGAAAATATGTTATTGACAGTGTGACTCCCTTTTCAACATCATATCAAAATAAGAACACAGGGGGCCAGTGCTTTGGCATTGCAGATGAAGTCACCACCTGCAGTGCTGGCATGCCATATGGGTTCCAGTTTGAGTCTCAGCTGCTCCACTTCTGATACAGCTCTCTGCTATGGCTTGGGAAAGCAGTGGAGGATGGCCCAAGTCCTTGGGCCCTTGCACCCACATGTGAGACCTGAAAGAAGATCCAGGCTCCTGGTTTCAGATCAGCACAGCTCTGGCTGTCGTGGCTATTTGGGGAGTGAACTAGTAGATGGAAGACCTCTCTCTCTCTCTGCCTTCAAATAAACAAATAAATCCTTAAAAAAATAAGAACACGAGGGAGTGGGCATTTAACCTAGTGGTTAAGATGCCGGCTGAGACCCCCATGTCCCATATCACGGTACCAGAATTCAGTTATCAGCTGATTTCTGACTCTTGCAACTTGCTAGTGAAGAACCTAAGAAGCAATGGTGATGGCATTAATAGTTCAGTTCCTGACACCTACATGGGATACCTGGATTGAGTTTAAGCTTACAGTTTCAGCAGGGGTCAGTTCTGACCATTTGGAGAGTAAAGCAGCAGTTGGGAACTCTATTTACTTTCCTATCTCTGTCTCTGCTTCTTGAAAAGACAACAATTAGAGAAAATGACACTTGGGTGTTATGAAAATGAGGCTATCATATTCTCTTGCTCATACATCAGATGATAGTGGAAAGTAGGGTCTTTCTGGTGTGCCTGAGCACTGAGTTGGGCCACGGATTGTGGTGGAAGACAGCAAGGGAGGAAGAGGAATATTAGGCAAAATCATTGCCCTCTTATCCTTCTTTCTGAAGTGACCTCTCTAAAGCATCCACTCTTCATCTGGCCCTCAGATTCCACACATAAATTTACTCTATTCTGCTTGTGTACATGCAATGAAACACACTTTAGCTATTTCTGTGTAAGATGTTGTGTTTGCGTAGAGTGGCTAAAATTGAAACAACAACTTACTAGGCAGCCATGAAGTCTATTTAATTGAATGTCAGAGTTATAGTGAGAGAGAAAGAGAAGAGGGAAGAAGGGAGTGAAGGAGGGAAAGAGAGAGAGAGAAGAGGGAAGAATGGAGGGAGAGAGAGAAGAGAGAATCTTTCATCCACTGGCTCTCTCCCCACATGGCCTCAATGAAGTCAGGAGCCAGGAGCTTCATCTGGCCTCCCACATGGGTAGCAGAGGCCCAAGTACCTGGGCCATTTTCTGCTGCTTTCCCAGGCCATTAGCAGGGAGCTAGATCGAAATGGAGCAGCCAGGACACTAACCCGCACCCATAGGGGATGCTGACATTGCAAGCAGCAGCTTTACCCTCTGTGACACAATGCTGGCCCCCCGAAATAAAATTCTTAAAGGTCGTTTTTGGTTTCAACTTAAACCAGTCCATATAACTGCCATCAGGTGGAATTTTAAGAATGCTCAAAGCATTTTGTTTACAACTAAACTTTCTCAGTAACTGAACACTGCCAAAAAAAGGCATAACAGATTCAGTCTTTTTATTTAGTTTTAAAATTGTATCTAATTGGCCAGCACCATGGCTCACTTGGCTAATCCTCCCCCTGTGGGGCTGCCACCCCCAGGTTCTAGTCCCAGTTGGAGTACCTGTTTCTGTCTCAGTTGCTCCTCTTCCAGTCCAGCTCTCTGCTTTGGCTTGGGAGGGCAGCGGAGGATGGCCCAAGTGCTTGGGCCCTGCACCTGCATGGGAGACCAGGAGGAAGTACCTGGCTCCTGGTTTCAGATCGGCGCAGCGCGCTGGCCATAGCGGCCATTTTGGGGGTGAACTAATGGAAAGAAGACCTTTCCCTCGCTCTCTCTCTGTCTAACTCTGCCTGTCAAAAAAAAAGTTGTATCTAATTATTTATATTTTATTTGAATGACAGAGACAGAGATTCCATTCACTACCTCTCCTGCACTTCAAATGATCACAACAAGCAGGGGGCTAGAACTCAGAGTCTAACATGTGGGTGGCAGGGACCCAGATTTCTGAGCTATTTTGAGAGGAGTCATGGGTTAATAAGCAGTCTGGAAATTGAGGGTAGAAATGTTCCCCCCAAAAGTTTGTCCCCACCATTCCCTGTAACACTGTCTTCTGCTGCCTTCTCGGGGTGTGCATTAGCAGCCACCTGGATTGGCGTGGAAATGAGACTTGGACCAGGCACACTGATATAGGATGTGGGTCTCTTAACTGCTGCACCAATCATCCATCCCTAATCCCCTTTTTATATGAACCTTCAAGGCATTGCGCTCGTCACTGTTGCAGGTGCAGTTTCTTGTATTTGATTCTTAAGGTGGACAGATAACCTTCTGTTTATTAAAATTAAAAAATTAATTTCCATATGCCAAAAGATCAATGGGTTTTTCTTCACCTAAAGAAATCACAGAAGTGATTCCCACCACCTTCTATAATCAGTGGAGATAGAGAGTAGAATAGTTTAAAGCTTTATAAGACATAGGCTAGTATATAGGACCTACATATAATTCAAATATGGATTAATCCTATAGTACTTGAGGTGAATTTAATGGAATCTGAGGTGGATTTTTGTGTAAAATTGGGAGAAGGATTGTGATGCAACAGTTAACAATGCTGCCTGTGATGCAAGCATCCCTTATCAGAGAGCCTGAGTTCAAGTCCCACCTCCAGTTCAGATTCCAGCTTCCTGGGAGGTAGCAGGTCATGGCTCAAATACTGATACCACCTACATAGGAACCCTACTGGGCTGTGGGCTCCTGGCTTCAGCCTGGCCCAGCCTTGGCTGTTGTAGTCTATTAGGGAGTGAATAAGTACATAGGAACTTTTTGCCACTTTTTAAAAAAAAATATTTATTTTATTTATTTGAAAGAGAGATTTACAGAGAGAGGTAGAGACAGAGAGAGAGGTCTTCCATCCACTGGTTCACTCTCCAGATGGCCGCAATGGCCAGAACTGAGCCAATCTGAAGCCAGGAGGCAGGAGCTTCGTCTGGGTCTCCCACGTAAGTGCAGGGGCCCAAGGAATTGGGCCATCTTCTACTGTTTTTCCAGGCCATAACAGAGAGCTGGATCAGAAGAGGAGCAGCGGGACTAGAACTGGCGCCATATGGGATGCCGGCGCTTCAAGCCATGGCTTTAAACCCATGTGCCACAGCCTCTTTCTTTATCTTTGTTTCTCTGCCTCTCAAATATATGAAAATTAAAGAAAAAGAAACAGTATAGATAGTCTAGAAAATGTATTAGGTCAAGGTGGAAGACTTCCTGTTAGAAAACACCCTGGGGATAAGATGTACAGGCAAGAAGAGGAGTTGATTCCCAGGAGGTATGTGGGTTATTGTAGGTGAGGGGTATGTTATCTAAGTCAGCCAGCATGTGCCTCCCTTTCTTTTCTTCCCTCTTGTCCCCAGAAGGCCAGGTTGGTGCCTCTGAATCACAGCTTCCTTCTTGCTTTCCCATGCCCCCATGCTAGACCTCCTTCCATTTGCTTTGTCCCCAGGGGCGGGCCCAGGGCCTGTAGGGCTAGAAGTACTGGCAGGGGACATGCAACTGGCTCATTCCCCTCCTGACCACTCCCAGAAGCCTTTCACCTTGGTTATGGCTTCCTCCTCCCAGTCCCAACTCTAATGCTGACACTGCAATGGCATTGTCAGCAAAACACTCTTCTGACCACACTTATCGCATGGACCCTGGCCCATCTGTGCCTTCTCATCCAACAGCTGACTGTCCCCAGGATCCTTGAGCACTCTTGCTCAGGAGTCCCTCCTACTGAGTGTCAAGAACCTGATGAGGCTGAAGATAGAGAGCACTGGCTATCCTACTTTTCTGTGACTGCTTAGCACCCCAATGACCCATGGGACCTGCAGTAAAGTCCAGCAGCCCTGGGTACTTGCCACCTTCTCCATAGGCTACATCACCCTACCTGGCCCATGCCTTCCAGGTACACTGGCAGGACGGGGCACAGCTGTGGAGGCTCCTTATGAAGACCATGGGAAGGTGGGACCTGGGCACTTGGACTGCTAGGTCTGCCGGACCACAGGTATTCTGAGGGCCCCTGCTGCTGTGATTGTGGACTCCTGGAGGAAGGACAGGAGTCACTGAGCCAGGATCCTCTCGATTCAACAAAGCATCAGTAATGGGGCAGCAATCATCCTCTAAGTGGAGATTCTTTCCCTCCGTGTAACTGGGGCCTAGAGAGAAGCCTCAGTGGGAGAACTGGCAGTCTGGAGCCTCCAGGTGAGGGCTGCTGCCCCTCCTCAACCTGTGCTTTGCAAGAGGCAGACCCCTGGGTGGCTTCCTTGCAGGGTGTCCTGGTGAGCATTTTGAGCAGGTGGGCTGCAGGAAGAGCTCGGTGCTGGCTGTCTCACTGGGGAGCTCCACAGGTGTTCACATCAGTGCACCCATCCTCAGCTCTGCTCCTTGGTGGATACTGCCAAGCTCCTGCTGTAGTGTTGAACCTCTTTTTAGGGGTCAGGGATCCCAAAGGAACAAGATGTGGTCTCTTTCTTGAAGAGTTTTCAGTGTGGAAAGAGGAGGATGTCAAGAAAGTGAGTCATTGTACTGCTCAGACCGGAGTGCTATCAGGCCGGTGACCATGATGGGAAGGACACAGATGGGAAAATATCCTGTGCCTGCTATGCCTCAGAAAATGGGGCTGTGCAAGGAGGGGTCTGGAGAGGAGCACAGGCTGGGGGAGGGCCCTCTTATTCCCAGGTGAGAATGAGGTCCATGTGGTGACCACATGCCTTTCTGAGCACCTGAGCAACCCAGATGTAGACTGCTGGGCTCTAGCCAAAGAGCCTCATTTGCACCCCACACTGCCAACATCTGCTAACTCATCTGAAACATGAAGGGGGACCCTGTGTAGAAGCCTGGGAGGCTTCTGGGGGTGGGAGCTGGCATGCAAGGACCCAGTGGGGAGCTGGTCCCATGCTGCTAGCTTGGATCTCTGCAGGGGCTCTCCACGGCTTTGACCTGGACACCCACAAACCCTGGATCCAGTTTTCTGCCATCCAGGACAACATCTTTGAAAAGACATTTGCTACCCAGCTGTGCAGGAGGCTTGTGCCTTCAGTGGCAACCTCAACATGAGTGCCTGATCCATTTTTTTTAAAAGATTTTTATTTATTTGGTTGAGAGGTAGAGTCACAGGCCGTGAGAGGGAGAGAAAGAGAAAGGTCTTCCATATGCCACTTGTATATTATTATTGGGTATAGTGGAATATTTGAATACAAACATATCATAAACTGAGTGACAATAGAACTAGGCCTTCCCTTCCCTTTTCTTTGTTTAGAGCCTACCAGCTCCTCCATCCCAGTTGTTTCTTTTTTTTAAAGATGTATTTATTTATTTGTAAGGCAGAGTTACAGAAAGAGGAAGAGACAGAGAGAGAGGGAGAGACAAGGGCGTTTCCACCTTCTGGTTCACTCCCCAAGGGCCACATGGTCCTGAGCTGGGGCTGATCCAAAGCCAGGAGCAGGATCTTCTTCCCAGTCGCCCACGTGGTTTCAGGAGCTCAGGTACTTGGGCCATCTTGTGTGCTTGCTTTCCTAGGCATGTTGCAGGGAGCTGGGTCAAAAGTGGAGCAGCCAGGACTCAAATCTGTGCCATATGGGGATGCTGGACTGCAGGGGCCCCCACACTTGAGCCCTAACCGCTGCTCCCAAGGTGCGCATGTGCAGGGAGCTGGCCCGGAACACAGTCTGACCCGGGATGCCTGGTCTCAATCCCCACACCAAACAGGAGCCCCCAGGTCCCCGGCTGACGCGGCGCCCAGCCGCCTTCAGGTCGGAGCTACAGCGGGGAGCCCGAGAGGGGAACGCTGTGTGCAGGACCCCAGGGCAGGGCCGGGAGGACGCCCGCTCCTGTCCATCAGATCCCGGGTTCCAGCCCAGCTCTGCTCAGGGGACTATGGCTGCAGTGGGTGCTTGGGCACTACCGGGCAGCACGGGGAGACCCCAGTGGCGCTCCCGCCCAGCACTGCAGGCCTGGGGAGTGACCTGGAAGGCAGCTGGGTCTGACTTCTGCCCCCAGCACTGTGTCTTCCATGGCACAGCTGTGGACCCAGTTCCCGCGCTGCTTCAGCAATGTGGCTCTGCTGAGGGGTGGGGGACACGGAGCAGCCCACCGTGACCCCCGGGCCTCTGGCCGTTCACTTCAGTTAAAGGGGAGACCCAGGAAGTGTTAGGAGTCAAGTGTACCGGAGGTGCAATCACGGAAGGCTTTCTGGAGGAGGTGGCACTTGAGCCAGGTCCTGTAAGGGGACAGGCAGCCAGGTCAGGAGAATGAAGGCGGCTGTGAGAGGCCGACGCGTCCAGCCCCAGGGGTGCTGCTTCCAGATGACATCCTGGTGGCCACCGCCAAGAACATGCCTGGGGACAGCGTGGATCTGTTTGCAGATGGTGCGGCAGAGGACAGCGGTGCAGCCAACGGGCACCTGTGGCACACGGTCATCATGGGGAGCAGGAGCAGCGCATCGACCTGCACATGATCCGGCCGCACATGAAGGTGGTCACCCAGGAGGGGAGGTCCCCCGGGTACCCGTGGTCACCCATGAAGGGGAGGCCCCCCCAGGTGCCCATGATCACCCACGGAGTTGAGGCCACCCCATTACCACGTGCTCACCCACGGAGGTGAGGCCTCCTCAGTTACCATGTGGTCACCCATGGAGGTCAGACACCCCCCCCCCGGGTACCCGTGGTCCCCCATGGAGGTGAGGCCCCCCAGTTACCATGTGCTCACCCATGGAGGTGAAGCCACCCCGGGTACTAGTGCTCACCCACGGAGGTGAGACTCCTGGGTACCCATGGTCACCCACAGAGGTCGGACCCTCCCAGGTACCTGTGGTCACCCACGGAGGTCAGACCCCTCCCGGGTATCCGTGGTCACACATGGAGGTGAGCCCCCACAGGTACCCGTGGTCACCCGGGACGCCAGACCCCCTGCTGGGCCCGGAAGACCCTCCGTGCCCCTGCGTGGCTCAGAGCCCAGCGATGGCCGCCCTCACAGGTTACCACAGCGAGGGCCTCAACGCCATCATCGTCTATGCCGCCAGCTTCCTCCAGGACAGCAGCTGCCCGGACTACCACTAAGTCCTGGAGAACCTCTTCCTGTGAGCGGGCGGGGAGGGGCCAGGAGTGCAGGGCGGGCGGGGGGCGGGGAGGGGCCAGGACGGGCAGGGTGGGCGGAGGCAGGGCGGGTACCGCTCGCCCGGCTCCCCCTGCTGGCCCACTCTCAAGGCCTGGGCCTTTCTTGTAGGTAGGCCGGCGCCGCGGCTCACTAGGCTAATCCTCCGCCTTGTGGCACCGGCACACCAGGTTCTAGTCCCTGTCGGGTCGCCGGATTCTGTCCCGGTTGCCCCTCTTCCAGGCCAGCTCTCTGCTGTGGCCAGGGAGTGCAGTGAGCATGGCCCAAGTACTTGGGCCTGCACCCCATGGGAGCAGGAGAGGCACCTGGCTCGCCATCGGATCAGCGCGGTGCGCTGGCTGCAGTGCCCCAGCCACGGCGGCCATTGAAGGGTGAACCAATGGCAAAAGGAAGACCTTTCTCTCTGTCTCTCTCTCTGTCCACTCTGCCAGTCAAAAAAAAAAAAAAAAAGAATTCTTGTAGGTAGGTAGTAAATAAGATCCAATATCTTGGAGGATTCTAATCTTAGAATAGTGAGAAATTATGACTTGTGCTTTTATAATGTGATAATATTTAAATATTACTGTGATATATGATTATCTGCAGAAATACTGAGTAACAGAAACTGTAATATCCCAAATTCTTGTACATGAGCTTACATCAGATATCTGTTGCTCTCCTAGCCTACAGTACACTGAGTAGACCAAATGTACATGTAGTATTAACCTTATTATAATTTGTCTTTTCTTTTTCCCATATATCTTTTACAGTACTAAAGACTTCTTTCAGAGTACCTAAGAAAGGTTAAAATGCAAATATGATTAATTAAGTGCTGTTTGTTAATGCCCTTTTAGGGCTCTTCAGCAAACAGGGCAGTTACGGCTGAAACAGTAATTATTTGAAAGGATTCAGTAGTAAAGAAATATGTATTTATTTATTTTTTGTTACCATTCACTTCACAATTTGAATTTTTCTTTAGTAAATGTTTATGATAACATGATGCATTTATGATAACATAATAAATAAACAGTAAAAGTTTATTATAACAAGAAAACCCAGGAACAACAAAGTATAAAGTATTTTCAGTATTCTTTGAGAATTTCTATACTGAACTAAGTTGCATAAGATCTTGACTTTTTTTAGGAAAAGAAAGTGTGGATTCAATATTAGTACATTTTAGCATTGTAGAGGACCATGTATTTTTGAAGAAATACTTTGAGTTCATTGTGCTTAGGGTACATTAGTTCTGCTGCTTGTCTCACAGTTCTATAAAATATATGTGAGAAGCATTGTGTACCTTGAAACTCATTTGAATATTATACTGTCTACTTTTCTATGGTAAATATGAGAATTTGGGTAGTTTGTGTTTTATTGTATCTATATTCCATCATCCTTCCTGAGACTGTGTCATTTATTTCCTCAGATCCCAGGCTGGCTTTATGTGGAGAATGATGCCTTGTATACAGGAAGCACTTCAGAATGTGGCAAGTGAGAACATTTTTACAATTTGTTTATGAATTCCAGAAATGAGATGGTAAGTGAAACACTTGACATCTTTATTTTCTAGCACTCGGAATCAGTGTAACTAGTCAGTCGCTCAAGTGTCACAGACACTACAAAAGCTTTATGTGCCTGTGGAATTCTGGAAGGGCAGTCTCACAGTGGTGAAGTGCCTATACTGTTGTGGGTTTTCACTGTGCCCTGCCCGTCCTACTTAAATAAGAGCTGTAGTTGTCCAAATCCTACTTTTAGTCCTAAAGGGTAATATAAAGCTAGAATTTGCCACGTTAAATAATAGAGAGATTCCCCTGAACCTGTCAAGGCCGATCACAACAAGCAAAAACATGAATGTGAAAGGTAGTTGAATAAATATTAATGATTTAGCATGTAACTGAGGAATGTTAATATGATATATGTGAACTATATGATGGCAGTAGTATTAGGAAGGGTAAATATGATAATAAAAATCACCAAGTCAAAATGGAGGGAGAGCATGGATTTCAGGGGCAAAAATGTCTTCATATGTGTATAAATTTACTGGTGAATTCTATCTTACAGTTTCATTTGTAGTTTAATTATAATAAATAACAGACATAATATAAAGAGAAATGTTGTATTGTGAAGATATAATGTTATCTTTTAGTTTATTTTGTCCTTGAATATTTGAAGATTAAATATCTTAGTATTACTGAATTATGACTATGTTTTGAAAAATTCCTGAGGTAACTTTGCACAATAAATACTGTTGTTGTTCACTCAATATTTTAATCAATGCTTGTCATTGTTATAATGTTAGCATATTAATTTGTTGTAATAAAAAGGCAAGATAAAAAGTTAGGATAATACAGTATACTATGTAAAAGCAGGCTTTCAATAGTTGGCAGGCCAACACTGCTATTAAATAGTTATAGTGTTTAAAGTGTGAAATTAATATTTTTCTACCAGGTAGGCAGTAGCTCTTATAATGTAATGAGCTTAATTGTGAATTTGACATTGGGTTAAATGTAGAATTCATAGAAGCACAGTGCTGGTTTATATTCTTTAATATTGTTAACAGTCAAAACCTAGAAAAATGTAGCAGTGTCACGTTAAAATAGCAACAGAATTATTAGTAAATTTGCTTTAGAAAATGAAAATTATTTTTCGGTTGCCGTTATAGCTTTTTCAAACTAACTACTAACAAGGTATTAGAAAAAACATAAAATTTCCAATGTTTGGAAGTCCTTTTGTGTAACAACTATTTAAACTGACTCAGAAATCTAACCTTTCTTCATAATCAGACAGTTCAGGCCTTAGGCCTACCA